TTATGATAATTCACAAAACTTCTTACAAGTATTTATTACCTATATCCTATCGGGACCCCATTTAGCCATGCACAGAATGCAGAATCAACAGCTTCAAAATGCAACAAAATCCTGCGACCTGTCAAATGGTAAACATGTCGTATAAATTTTGCCCACAGAAAGAATGATCAACAGAGTTGAGGGATGTCATGGAAATGTCATTTTTGTGCGTGTGTGTGTGTCTGTGACTGTAATATAGGTGCTTGCATGCATTCATACGTACATACAGCAGAAAATCCAATCTGTGAGGAATACTTCTATTAGTCACATTTCAAATCATTAACAGAAATTCAGGTCATATTGCACTACATATTACATTTCAAAATGGTTACATTACAAAGTGGAAAATAAAACTTACTTCGATGCATACAAGATATAAGTAGCACAGGTTTGATAGAATACTGATCAGTAAGCATAATGTAAAAGGGAACAACAAAGAAAAATAAAAACAAAAGAATAAAAAAGCTCCAATAAATAGTAATCAGCTACAATCAGCAAGGCAATCAAATGGATCATACCCTTCCATTCTTTAGGAATGTGAAAGTATGTCCTATAGCAGCCAGTAGGGTTGTCCACAGGAACAGAAGGTGGATCAAGTGGAAATGGATAAACAACGTTTGTATAAATAGGCCGATCAAATCCATGCATCTGCCAGTTTGAAGGAACTGTTCCATGAGAGAACACAAAATAATGAGACACGGTCGTTGGATAATAATTGCATGTGTTAGATATGAAAAATCATGATAAATTTATAACATAAATCATTCATAAATTTGTTCCATATGCTATTGCTAAAGCTCAAAACACTACAAGGAATAAGGTTATCAAAGTATTCTTAAATTGTCTATTTTGGAGAATAAAATAAAATAAATACGGAATCATGAAATCATAGTACAAACACTTAGAAAAGAATTTTCACAATTATACAAGCTTCAGTTAGCGCCTATAGTTCAAAGCACAATTTATTATCTGGAAAGAACTGACTTATTTGTGAGCGGCACTTACTGAACAATTTCGCTAATGCATATGCGTATCTCTCTTTAAAGAAAATGAATAGTAAAATAAAAGGCCAATTTATGATAGCGAAAATCCGCTATGAGAATAACCAGTAGCCAACAAGCAATAAAATGGAAGTTTTTCCTTTTCTTTCCTTGAAGCTAATCCACAGTGAAGTTAAGATTGGATCCCAACTCTCATGTGAAGCTGACTCTTACGTAAGCTAACTGAAATACAGAAAAAATAAAAAATTCCCCTCATTATAACCCAAACATTTCATACACGTTACTAAACATGCCTTTCAAATTCTCTCACTTAGCCATAAAATTACCTTGAATGCAATACTACACTGTTGCAAATAAGAATATATAAAGAAACAGCGCAGAGAAAACTCGTAGTTGAAGTAAAATGATGCAATAAGTTTCTGGCATGCAGGTATAGATACATATTTTGCAATGAAACAAATTTCATTAATGATTTTATGAAACAACCATCACTGCTATATTCTAACACAGCATACCAAATATATATGTGTAGGTTTGTCAGATTTTAAGGCAAGAAAAAGTGAAAGATACATATATGCTTACCTGGCAAGGTTTCCCACTCAGAATCCTGAAATGCAGTGTCATAAAAATTTACAGGAACATTTCTAGGACTGGAAGCCAAGAAGAATTTCCAATAGCCTGACAAAGACTTCACAAAAGGCAAGTCCTTGACCCAAAGGGCCGCGCTATCAAGAGCTCCAGGAACAGCATCATCATCCCAAACAGCAGAGTTGGATACCAGAAAATTCACTTTGTTGCGCTCATACCAGTATTTAAGAGATCCTACACCACATAACGAATGTCAGATATCTTCTAAAAGAAATAGAAAAGAAGTAAGATTCCAAGCCAATGATAAGATAAAATAACACACAGAACTTAGAGAGGGGGGGTTCCGCATCATGGACCCAAACCATTATACCAATTAGAAACCTTCTATGTGCCTATAACGTAGACCTTGTTTCGTGATTTCAAGGCTTGGGAATAGGTACAAGATTCCTGTCCCATGTTCCTATACCAAAAGCTCATCTTGATGGCAAGATGCAACGTCAAGCTCAAGCTCATATACCATACCATGATGCAGTTTCTGAACAATGTGAGATTCTACACATATTCACAACTGCATACCATGTTTCCCTATTCACTCTTCATATTTGAGAAAATGCATTTTTACCAAAAACCAATGCAACAACACTCCAACAAAAATTCAAAATGTGTCAGGCCAATCGATGAGCTTGTTTATACATAATTACTATACATACTCAATCTGGCGGATCCACCATGGGGTCAATGGGGTCAGACGACCCCATGGAAGATCTGGATTTTAGTGGTAGGGACTGGTTTTTGCCCTTGGCAGCCATGGAAATGACCCCATGGAGAAGAAGAAGCTTCGGTGGGCTGGGGTTCTTCTCTTTTTTTAAAAAAATATTTATTAAAAAAAAAAAAAAAAAAAACGACGTCGTTTTGGCCAATGCAATTTTTTTTTAAATGACCTATCCAAAACGACGTCGTTTTGGGCCAGGAAAAGGGGCTGCAGCTTCTTAACAGCACAGACCCGAAAATAGACCTCCAAAATCCCATTGTTCATATTCCTCCTCAACAACAACCCTAATTCCAATCTCCCCAAGACCTCCACCAGCACCATCTTCAGTGGAGAGAGCATTTTCCGTCATGAATATTATTACGGGTCCACTTCGGAACAAAATAAGAGATGAGTGGTTGAATGATAACTTGTTGGTTATATTGAGAGAGATGTTTTTGCTTGTATTGAAAATGAAGTTATAATGCTATATTTTCAAAATATGAAACCTCATCGTGGACAATTGGAACTTGTAATATTGTTTTTGACATTAATTATGAGTGAAAGCACTATCGTTTCATTTTCAATATTTTTTTTTCATCTTAAAAAATTATTGGGTGGGTAGTTTACACTATGATCCCATGAGTGACAATTCCTACATCCACGCTGAATGTGTGTTTGTATAATTTGCAAAGTCGAAACATCTAAAAGACATTGCTAAATCATTTCCAATAAATATTGCATGTAGAACCTGAAATTTATAATAAAGAAAATAGCTAAATGCATTTATAATATACTAGCATTACATGAGTACTTCATTTTATTTTTATCACATGAAATCCCCTAATTCACGATCATAAACCCACTTCATAGAACTCTTCATCTGAAGATTGAATGTGATTCTGAATCAAACAGACTTAGCAGTTATATCCCAAACATTTACAAAATTCCAGCAACAAAAATCTCCATTAACCAAAATTTAACAAGACAACGTGAAACAATGCAAAACTTCCAGCAACATGAAAACACTCTTAATCCAAATACGAAACTGAAATTGAAATGGGTTTAGTTTCTCACCTTCAATTGAATCATGGCAACGTAAAGGGACATGTGCATCTCTCTTCCTCCACTTGATGAGAGATTGGTCCTCCCACACATGATGTCCATTCTCTAAGAGAGAAACGAGTTCAACCGGTAAAGAAGAAGCCATGGCTGATTCTTGGTAGTAAACCGATCACTTCCACCACATATCAGTGGACTGGTAGCTGATCTTGTGGATCAATCTGACTCAAGGTACTTTAAAGCAGTAAAACATCAAGACGTTGGTGCCCTACGGTCTAATAGATGTCTAAAAAAGTGGGCTAAAAGAGCGGATCTTCCCCTAATAAGAGTGGAAATTTCTCATCCAAAAGACTAGCAGCGTATTTGTCACATAATATTTTCGATCAGGTATTTATTGTTAAATTTTGTTAGAAATAAAATCCTGAGCTAAAGCCAAAGGAGTATAGGTGTTGTAGGGACACCAGCACGGCGACACGGATATGTGACACGGGAATACAGGTGTTGTAGGGACACCAGCACGGCGACACGGATATGTGACACGGGAATACATACAGGGATACGGGAAAACGAAAAATCTCAAAAAACTAGAACATGACAATAAAAAATAATAATACTTATAAATATTTAATTGAAAAACAAAATATTGATGTTAATACTTCAATTTCACAATTATATATAGTGAAGTTCAAGCTTTCCAAGTCTTTCAAATGTAGTTTATTAATTTCTTATGAATTATAATTGAACTAACACATTAGCTGATCTTGAATATGAGTGTTTGGAGAGTATCTTGAGTGTCCATGCAACATATACGTGAAAAATAACATTGACTTGCAAACTTATGGTCTCAGATTCGAACATCTATGACACTTTAAACAATATGTGTTGCATGTGCGTCGTTAACCTTTTTAATTTTTAATTTTTTTACAAGCAATATTGATAGATGAGGGAATTGAATCTAAGACCTCAAGTGAAGGGATAAATACTCTTAATCATTTGAGTCACAAGCCACTTGCAATCGTTTTTTTTTTTAAAATTGGCAAACTACAAGTCCTAACAAGAAGAAAACCACGAAATTATTTCACATTAAATGACGACCTTGCCCTTAAATATACAATGTTTAATAATATGGCACATGCAGTGCACTTATAAGGGACTTAATTGAAACAAGCAACAAAACTACAACGACTTAATTGAAACTACATAGACAAATTGAAATTAAGGAAAAACCACAAATAAGACATCGATTTGTGCATCATACTGCCAAGTTCTTCATGTTCATTTGCACAGCTATTTCTCATGCCCCAGTATCATCAATTCCTTATCAGAAAAATAGAAACAAAAATAAAATTTCCAAATCAGAAGTGCGATTGGCAGTATGGGAGCTGCTTTGCTAATCAGCAAAACATTTCCCTTCCAGCACACAGAAGCAGCAGCACAACATTTTAGAGATAAACCCAAAACCATGAACCATGAGCAATGATGAAGACCTAATTGAGCTGTCATCAGAGAGGCAGCAAGTCTCAGTACCAAAATGATTTAACAAAGAAATAGAAGCCATTGAGGAACGATATTGGTAACACTTCCGCATTTCATCGACAATTGATTTTTTACCTGCAATATCTCCCAATTAAGGGTTTAGTTTAACCGCATCCAGTAGTTACCAACAGGTTAACTAAAATGCTCTAAGATCAAACCCAGAAAAAGAAAAAAGAAAACAAACTGAGTTTTTCAGGAGCTGCTAACAACTGCCTAATATATACAAATCAAAAAACAGAGGAGCAGAATGTTTACACCTAATTACATGAGAATCTCAAAATGACACATGCCCAGGAAATAGACATGTTCTACTGCGTCTCCGCATTCTCAGTTTGCTCTGGAGTGGAGGTTTGACTTAGAGTGGGGGTTTGACTTAGAGTTGGGTTCCGCTCTCGATTCCCTCTCCTAGAGAAATACTTGCCAATGAAAGTTTCAGCTACATCAGGGAACTTTTCCCTTATGTAATTGTCCAGGCATTTCCTATATGAAAAATCTTCCGTACGACCATCTGTTGACACAACAAAGAAGCATCTGCTGTCCTGGAAACTACCATGCCTATTAACCTGTCATACCAATAGCGGTGTAAATTAGTGGAATATTTTACAAAATATGACACATATTGGCAGTTATTACAAGACAGTGGTTCCTGAAAAAAAAGGTAAACAATACCGGACATTCCAGCCTGATTATGTTTTCCAAGTACTATGAAAGAAAACCTCTTCCCAATCACTACTTGTCCAGACTTAAAAACCCCTTCAAATGAACCAGTCTTAATTCATGTTTAAAGACGAGTATTTATTCCCCTTATCTGAAAAATTAGATCACCAACCTTAGCAGCCTGGTAGCATGCGTGAGTATCTAAACCAAAAGACACGAAAATGATTTTTTCTGACTAAACCCCATCTGAATCAACTCCCCATGTGCAACAGCTCTTTGCTAATGATAAATATTGACATAAAAAAAGGTTTCAAAATTTCCATTGAGCTGCAGAACAAATTTAGGTATGCAACAATACACATGGAGTTTAAACTCAATGGACAATCTAGGAAAATCTGTATAAATGTCCAGCTTCCATAACAAATAAAATGAATATTAGAATAAGCAGTATAACAATAAAATCATCAGTCAGAGATTCTTAATCCAATGTATCAAATGTGTACAGAAATATAATTCTAAATAAAACGTAGTTAAGCAAGAACAGGGTAGATGAACATACTGTGAGATGATCAATTCCACAACCCATTTTAGCTGCTTTATCCGGGTGGTAATTGAAGACATTATCAAGTACAAACGATTGATCGTCACCTGACAGTGGATCCCCATCATTGTACCTGAATAAAATAATTTAAAAACCAGAAATTAAGTTACATCATTGTCGAACACCATGCAAAGATATTGCTACAATTAAAATATTCAAAAAGGAAAGGAAATATCAAACAGTTGCAGAACACAGCACGAAGCTATAATATATGCAAAGTGACTGGATAATGTCCAAAAATGAAATCAATTGTTTCATATGGATATCGGTGAAGATATGATATCCTTAAGACATCTCCAAAGGAAAGTCCAATGTAATATGTAAACTTCATCACTTTATTAGATATCTTTCTTTTATAGTTGTTATAATTAATTTTATGTAAAAATAGACTTCAGACTTCAACATGCATATTAATATGAACGGGAAGTACAATCAAAGTGGACTAGAAGACCAGAAAATACACTGCACAAAGCCTACAATTTATAAGAAACCAAAAGAAAAGTATGACAGTACAGCGTCCAACAATGCCGAAAACAGAGCAAAAGCCCCAAAGTACAATCAGGACAACTACGATATAGCAGCTTCCCTTTCCAAATTTAAGGGAAAGAATGGGCAATCATGGTACAGATGAGACTGAAGCCCATGGAGAGGCCCAAAGTCTAGCCATATCTCATAAATAGTCCACAAACTACCCAACTTTGGCTTTGAGTTAAACTGTTCCTTTCCATCCAAATCATCAAAAGAACATTGCACACTAATAAATAATTATTCAAATCATTAGTTTCTTGTCACACTAAACTACAAGTATTCCCCTGACTTCAAATGGACTCTTACTTATAAGACACTTAGCAAGACAAAAACATCTGGTCCTCCTATATAAGAATCATTTCTCCTTTAGAAAATTGAAAAGTATCCATTATTTTGATCTGCCTGGTCCGAAATGTTAAGAAGGTACATAGATAGAAAACATACCCAGATTGATGCATTATCCTTCGGAGGGAGCGCATAACTGGTTCAATATTAGAAAGAACATCTTGCTCCTCGGAAGTGAACATATCCAATCTCTGTCTTGTTACAGTATACAATGCACCCATTGTAGAATTGTCATTCACCATTCCAGGTGACTTAGGAGGACGGTTCTTATTCTTCCATTCCCCAGGACTTGAAACCCAATTCCTTGCACCTTCAAAACGATTTTTCTTTGTTTGGTCTCCACGATGCTGTCCCCACTGATGATTTCTTTCACCAGAATTCCCATCTCCAGTAGGTGAATCCCACCCAGACAAGCTTGCAGAATCATCCTGGGGTTTTGTAGGCTGGAGGTCTACTGGTTCAACTTTACCTGCCTCTCTACCACACCAATCATTTTCACTTGCCGTAGTTGTCCCCCATGTAGATGTGGTATTTTCTTTTGCTGGATTTTTCCCCCAGGCAGATGTAGCATCTTCTCTGGCAGTATTTGCCGCCCACACAGATGAGGTATTTAAAACACTGGATTTCTTCCCAGACAAGCTTGCAGAATCATCATGACCTACCCCTCCACCACACCAATCATTTTCACTTGCCTTAGTTGTGCCCCATGTAGATGTGGTATTTTCTTTGGCTGGATGTTTCCCCCAGGCAGATGCAGCATCTTCTCTGGCAGTATTTGCCGCCCACGCAGACGAGGTATCCGAAACACTGGATTTCTTCCCAGACAAGCTTGCAGAATCATCCTGACCTACCCCTCTACCACACCAATCATTTTCACTTGCCATAGTTGTGCCCCATGTGGATGTGGTATTTTCTTTTGCTGGATTTGTTCCCCAGGCAGATGCAGCATCTTCTCTGGCAGTATTTGTCGCCCACGCAGATGAGGTATTCAAAACACCAGATTTCTTCCCAGACAAGCTTGCAGAATCATCCTCACTTACCCCTCTACCACACCAATCATTTTCACTTGCCGTAGTTGTCCCCCATGTAGATGTCGTATTTTCTTTTGCTGGATTTTTCCCCCACGCAGACGAGGTATCCAAAACACTGGATTTCTTGGAATCCAACTGGGCTTCTGCTGAGTTGCTATCTTGTGTTTTCCCTTTCTCTGTACCCCAGCTTGACCAAACGTCAGGAACTGCTACAGTTCCCACATTTTTGTCAACGCTCCAGTCTTTCCCCCCACTAGAATCAGTGTGGAAGGAGGAATCCTTTTCCCAGTTTGATTTTTCGGGAAGATCTCCTAATTTATCATCAAATTCAACAAGATCTTCAAAGACGGGCCTATCAAAACTGGAGTTAAGTTCTGGCGAGAAGCTTGAATCTGCCATTTCATCAACTAGCATTAGATCATCAACTTCTGCACCGAGAGCTCCTGTAGTTTCTTCTTCTACGTTTGCAGTGCTCACCATATGCAGAAAGTTGAAAACATCAAGTCCACCCTCTTGAGTAAATTCTACCTAGAAAAAATCCAGATTTAAATGGTGCGAAAAATTAGCAGCAGATAAGACTAAATTTAATACGACTGAGAATTCACAAATGCATTAAAAATTATGAAATACCTCTCTTGTGTCCCACAGGACATCAAACCTCGCGCCCGTACCCACAGCAACATGTTTACCCCAGGAACATGATGCAACTATGCTTGCCAATGAATCCATGTGGCACTTTTCAGCTGCTCTCTCAAAACACTTTCTTGGTGTCTACAACCACATGTGAGTACTAAAATCAGTTCTGATTGTAATTCATCTTAACCAGTAACTATAAGTAAATGCCCTTTCACAGAATTAGACGAAAATTTTCAAATACTTACAAACAGTGTTGCTTCTGTAAATGGTACTTGAATATTCAATGCCCGAGATAGTGCTTTGTACCCACTCGAATTGAATCCCACGAAATTTCCTGCACATGTCATGCTATTTGCCAGGAGGATAAGATGCTCTTTCAGAACACCTTTTGCCACCATTGTCACTGCCGTTGAGAGGCGCTGCGTAATCAATCGTAAAATGTATTCTTAATTGAAAAGTAGAATAAGTATCTCATATCACCCAGAAATTTAGTCTATATGTTCCAATTTTCATTGACAACTAGAAAAGTTAAATTTCATAAGATGTACGGTAGCATGCCAGAGGGAACCAGAAATACAGCCACACAATTACGCAAAGATTGAAATTTTAAAAGGAGGTCCACAGCTAATGAAGATCAGTCATTTGAATCCCTCTAATAAGCATACGAAACATACAATTTTACACACAACTGATGCACTAAAGTACTCCCACTAGAAAGAAAGGGTAGTGAAGAATTAAATTGTATGAAGAATGAGATGTCCAGAAAGTCAAACACTCCAACAGGAGAGAAGCGTATTACAAAGATATAATAGAAGCCACTGGAAACTAAGACTGATAATTTTCTAAGCAATGCAGCAACAGAATATCATCCCAACACAAAAATGTCACTATTACGTGAATTTACCCTACTTGGTAACAAGAACGATAAAAAGGTTGATTCATTTGAAAATTGGAAAATTGGATAGACTAAGTTGGAACATATTAAACTAAACATCAGAAACACCAGATTTTGACAAAACGGACCGTTCAACGTTTGCATGAGGAAAATTTCAGACTTTTTTCTGTTTAATTCTTGATTGGTATGGTATGAATCCTTCTATAATCAGAAAATTTGTTTCTTCTTTCTTAGGCCTTCTAACACATGGATGGAGTGCATTTTCATTTGACAGAAGATGGATCGAGTAATGGATATGGCTTTGAAATAAATAAATTCCTAGTCTTAAATTACAGTTTACTCTGTCTCTACCCAAACGTACAACAACTAATATAAAATTTGAATCAAGTCATACAGCTCAAAAAACTATATTTTTTAGGTTATGTTGCCATATGACACCACCAAATCATGATATCCCACAACCCTATCACCACCCCTTCTAGAAACAACTAAACTGTGAATGACAGTACCTGAACTGCTTGATCAAAAGCACAAGACACCCCCAACAATTCTTGAATTTGTTTGATGGCATACGGGATGGAACGTCTGGTGTCAATTAGGTGAAGCACTGGAAGGCAAGAATCGAGCACTGTTCTCCATGCATCACCACTTTGCTTGATGACCGATTTCTCCAGAACAACATCCAAGGCCCATTCACCCTTCTGAGATTTGTTTGGGCTTCTAATCCAAGTTGTTGTATCTGGATCAATCCAAATTATATTGGCTGAGCCAATACGAGGGTCACCTGTCCATTAGAAAGACATGATTCATTTGAGAACCAAATTAAAAAGCTTTTATAAAAATGAAGACATTACTAAAAGAAAAGTTACAAAATAGTGTCCAGGATTAAACAAGAGGTACACCATTTAGACAAAGCAACAATAACACAAAATATAAAAGAAAATGCTCCGATCAACAGCGCCAAAACTCTAAAGATCAGAAAACTGCAGCAACCCGAACTAAATTAAGGACAATGAAATGAATATCTCTAAACTCAGCAACTACTGATGTCCAAATTGTCCAAAACACCACCCTATCCATTAAGACCACTCCTCCGCCCCTAAGATTTAGCCTTCCTGCCTTTCCCTAAAGCCACATTTTCAACTAATGACTATACATGAGGCTCGAAATGCCCAACTCAACCTAGAAATAGATGGTCAATATGTTCTGCATTCATGCACATTTAACACCAATCGGCTGATAGGCACATATTTGGCCTCTTACGTTGGATATTGTCACAAGTAACGACCATCCCATGAGCACCTAACCAAACAAGGATTTACTAGGGCCCTTAGTCTTTCAAATCAATTGGGATCGGTTGAAAAAAGGTAAAGACAGGAGTTGCAAGAAAAATAAAAAGGATTTAGAATATTTAAATTTCCAAGCCCTTCTATCACCCTGGTCTGGACACAATGAAGGATTTTCAATCAAATAAATAAAGAGAGGAAAAGTCCCCTATTTCAGCTTCATTAAGTCTCTCCTAATTTAAATTCCAACCCATACAACAACTGACAAACTAGAGATTGGATGGCAGTCAATAAAGATGCGCCCATAAAAAACAAAAAGGAGATTCCCCCACCCACCAATTCACTGTGAAATGCCAAGGACTTGTACGTGCACGACTACACACCACTTTGGAGTCCCAGCTATTAGCATGAGGACAAGTCAGCATGCCACAAGGATTCCCTCTCCAAAGGAAATATCCGCAACTATTTTTCCACAAAGCCACATTCCTCTTAACCAAATTTACAAGCCCAGTACCCATTTTCCCCTATATCTCAACACTAAGTCTCACTTAACTAAATGCTCCTTTTTCCCCTTCTTGGCCCTCCCTCAAAAAGTCCCTCATGAGCTTCTCAATTCTTTTAGTCACTTGACTTGAATTATGAAGAGACAAATAATCAGTACTTAGACTTTCCAATACTTTTTATTTTTTTAATAAGAAACTAAATTTTTCTTTAAAAAGAAAAGAGTAGAAAGATGGTAAATAAGGAGCCCACTTCTGAGAAAAAACTAAAGATAAACCTTCGACAGCAACTCTAATAAAAAGGGGATACAACACAGAAGTGGGGAGAGAGAGAGAGAGAGAGAGAGAGAGAGACTGAACAAACAGACATAATCAGAACATACAAATTGCATATAATAGCTAGGAACATTTCTGTTATATATGTGAGTTGCAAAACAAATGAAAAGAGCAACAGCCATTGGAAACAAAGGGAACTCAAATAATAAATTAGTTTTGCACTCTTTACATATAACTCTAAAGCTACCTTTTATTATTGTTTCTAAAAGAACAGGGCAAATCAAGTCCGCATAGTATTGCAAAGTGGTAGTGGTCTCCAAATCATCAGTTGCTTGAAGGAAGAACATCAAGCATGGGGAGTCGGATCTTTTTTCTGCAGAGGAATGATGAAAGGAGCAATGTTCACTGCAAACAAGGAAGCTTAAATTGTTGAGTAGGCTATCCTTACAGTTCTAATGTGGAGCCACAGGTAAACTTTCAAACACAAAAAGGGAAATGGATGTCAACAAAGTAAACATTGTATATGATTATGCCATGTAAACAACTTAATTTTGATTTATGAATTCTTTTGAGATGGAAATTTTCATGATCTCTAGGGCTCTTAAATCCAGAAGGCATGCAGAGTTCCAAATCGAATAAGAAAGCATTTACATGGTATGGTAACAACAGGGATGATCTACATTACTATGGTGGACTTTGTACTGGCGGTGTTTCTCTTATCAAGTTACTGTTTTTTTGGCCAAGATATCACGTTATTGTGTTTCCACCTCCCCTCCTTTAACTAAAACTGCAATTATCAATTCAAAGAAAAAACCAACCTCTAAGAAATTATAAAATAAAATATACAAAAAAGGTGCAACTCACAATGTTCCTGAACTTTCCTAAAAACAAAAATATCATATTAACTAAAACGACTTGAAGCTTTTTCTCACGTCATTGTCATATCACATATCAAAATTTGGTTTCACAAATAGGAAAGCATAAAAGATTAAGTCCATGTGGTGAACATAATTATGAAACAATTATCAGACGGGAAAAATCAACCTGGCAAACAAAACTGTATTTTTAAAATGATAACCAATGTTGAACTTCTTCTTTCCAACTTTCTTCCTCCGAAATGAATTAATAGTTTCTTGGCATTTTTGAAGAATATCGTGAACACCAACGTTTAACTCTCGTAACATATCCTGTTAAATGGAGCTCTGGTTAACCCACACAAGGAAGTAATTGCAACTTCATAACTGAAGATATAAAGAAAATGTTAGAACAATTTGAAAACAGTGCCAACCTCATTGAGATGAATATGACCAACAAGGCCTGCATCATTTACCAGACTTCCCAAACCAGAAAGCTGATTGTTATATCTGCGATGTAAGAATACACAAATATTACACCAAACACACTGTCACACATTAGTTTTATACCACCAAAAAAAGAAAGCAATATATATAATACATGCCAAATCCAATTTCTTTTGTCAATGACATGGAGACCACATAATATGCCAAATTCTCCCTCTCTCTCTCTCTCTCTCTCTCTCTCTCTCTCTCTCTCTCTCTCAATGATTTAGCTAAATCAAGAAGTTTGATAAAAACAAAATGCTACGTAGGTGGTAAAGCTTCACCAATTTTGTTCTGGAGCTGTTGACCCTCTTTGACCTGATCACCCATCGGATATCTAACTAATATTAAACCGGAAGGTTGCATAGTTACCCCAAATTATGCATCAAGGAGCTACACAGTATTTAAAAATATTTCAGCAAAGGCAACACTTATTCTAGGTAGCAACTCGCAGAAGGCATTTAAAGAAATAAATGAATTCTATTTACTTATTCACTTTCCAGAATATGATGAATCAACATGGACTAAAGGAGTGGACAATACATGACATTCCTACATACATACTTAAATAAAACTACATGAAAATATTGCCAAAAAAATATAAGGAGGCAGAGCATACTCAATCATAAATTCGACTGCAGTATCTTTAAGACTGACTTTCTTCAACTGATTCTTAACCAAACATGCTGCACGTTCTCGGCAGTACTTTCTTCCACAACCACAGTTATTCAAGTACAAAATTACACGGCGATCAATGAGCTCATTCTTAAAATTGACTTTGCAAAGCAGAATTTCCTGAAGAAAAGAAAATGCAAATTTAAGTTGAGCCTTTATGTATGCACTGCGAAAGAAAACATAACAGATAAAATTCAAGCTTTGAAAAGAAAGAAACAGTCATAATCAATAGCCAAAACTACCTTCATCAGCTCCCATGAAGAGTTGCTGCTTGGGGTAGAATCCAGAACTGCCTTATACGCAGGATTTGACATTGCAGTTGCAGCTAACACCCCAACAGGTTCACCAGCAGGGAATAAATGCTGGTGCCTAGATCCAGTATTGACTCCATACTCAAATTGGATTATTGAGTTGCTACAGACATTTCTGACGGTGCCATCATAGCAAATAACAACATCGCGAAGAATGGCCATTAAATTTTTAAATAGAGTCCCAGGTTCAGACAATCCTCTTGAGGACCGAACAATCACCTCTCGTGTAGCAATGGAGTGAACTATCGCCTCATATGGATCTAACCCATGAAAAAAACAGCTTTGAACTAGTCCATATTCGGCAGAGGGATAATCAATGTCAGATGGATATTTACTATGACACAGAGAGGCCACATCCTCAACCAATGTCTTAGAGTAGAATCTTCCTTTATCAGAAAGTTGCAGGCCTAGAAACCCAATTTGTTGAACAATTTTGTTAATGGCTGAATCACTCTTGGAGTCAATTAAATCACCCAATGCAGATGACTCCAAGATAAAATGTGAAACTGGTACTTTCACACTTCTGATGCGATTCTGCAATTGAAACTCTACAAACTCATTGTATGTTGACCTCAAATGATACAACAAATCAGAACTATCCTGAATATTCTTCTGAATGTCTTGTATGGATGCCCTGGACATGGAAAAATCTTCCAAACCAACACTAAACCCTTCTGAAAATAAATTCTCCATCAGCAAGGGCTGTAGAGAATCAAAGAATTTCAGAACAGCTTCACCACCTTTCTCAAAGAAAACAGAGGTAGCAATGTCATTCATCACAGCTGCTACAGAACTTGTGCTAAAATCAATATTCAGTATCTCACTTTTGTTGACCAAGTAGTTGTCGCCATTGCAGTCAAAGTGAGCTGGCAATGCAGTCTGTAATATCTGAAAAGCAGTCCAATATGAATGAGCAGAATTTGCTTTCAGTAAAGCCGGTCGTGGCAATGAAGATGATGCAAACATGGCCAGTTGCTGTGCTGCTGCTTTGTCCAAAAAATATTTCTTGAACATCATCTTTAATGACAATAGTGCATCAGTGGCCAATTGCAAATTTGGCTTTCCACTATGAGAGCTAAGCAGCTGCTTCTCCACTGAAAAAAGCTCCAAGACTTCTGCCTTTGCAGCAAGCGACTGGGGATAGAACAGGTGGATGCAATCACCATCAAAGTCGGCACTAAGTGGCCCACAAATGAGAGGGTTGATTTTCACCACATGGTCATCGTGCACATACACTTGGAGTGCTTGCAGAGAATGTTTATGGGTGGTTGGGGGCCTATTTACAAAAACAAGATCCCCGTCCATTATTCTACGATGAACCACTTGACCAGGCCTCAGAAATGTGTGCCCCTTTGAACCTTCCCTGAGTGAGTACGTCGATGAACCATCCTTATAGGTTAGGCACAACTTGCTATCTACCAGCTCTTGTAGATACCTAATGTTATGATCATTAACCTTCTCCTCAAATGTGATTCTTTGAGCAATTTCATATGGGATGCCAACTTCATTCACCCTTCTAAATGCATCCCCAGTAATCACTGAGCGGGAAGAGAAGCCTGAACCCTTTCTAATGAACAATGTCCTCATCTTTTCAAGCCATGCTTTTGTTGAAGAGGCATTAAGCTCCTTGTTTACACCAAATCTTGCATCAATATCGCGTGATGGCTTTCCAGTACCCCTAACTTGAAGATACTGATCAATTATTGCTTGCAATTCATTCGCTTCAACAATCTGAGATTCAAAATTCGGTATGCCAGACCTTGAACTTCTTATGATTTCAACTTGCTTTAGAACTTTTTTTAGCATTGATATTGAAGGATCCTGGAAAATGGCAAGGAAGACTAGTTATAACCAATCCAACCAGAACTGATTAAGGTCCATTATCATGCCAATAAACTTACCGCAGACATAACACTAACACCATCAGAAATTTCAGGCACAGACAAACAGTTTGGAGGGACAGGTATTTGAGACAAGATGTATCCATCTTGAGGAAAATAGCCTTTAGCAGCAAGTTTCTTCCTGGTCTCTTGAGGGATTCTTTTCAGCATTTCCATCACCTGGTAGTCATTACCAAAATAATAACATGTATCAGGAGAGAATACTATGTGCCATAAAAAGCATTAAAGAAAACGGTTACAATCAGCAGAAACAGGAAAGTGTCACAGTATGATTGCATTATGCATGATTTGTAATTTAAACCATTTGGTCAGAATCAATTTATATACATCTGGCCAATTAATTTAATGAATAAATTAAGTTGAAACCACATGGAGCCGACAAAAGTAACGGCACCTCCTGATCAATCTAATCAATAAAGTATTTAAGAGTAAGGTACTCACTTTGCCAGATTACCGTGATTAGTGAGGACGTATGCATGAGGGCAAGTGCCTCATACTAGAAATAAAGATGTTGCACAAATTAAAACAGCACAAAAGTATAAATGAATTATTTGAAAAAAGGACTTCGACTAACTTAGCCATCAAACTAATTGTTGAGATAAAATAGACTATGCGGCTTGACACCAAAGGGAGCTCAATAGCACCCCCTCATCAATGCATTCAATAAAGTAATTCAAACAGGAACCCAAGGCTAAGGCAATCACTTTGTTGCATTTCTGTGATTAGTGAGGACATTTGCATGTGCCCTAGTGTGTCAAATTGGAAATACGTACGTGATAAAAAACATCAAACTTTGTCACTAGCTAAAACATCATAGAAATCAAAGTGAACTGTGAGCAAACAAATTCTTCAACCCACATAACTGGACAATAAAAATCAATCAAACTTCCAAAAATGTGATATGAGCAAGGAGAAACATAGGCAGGAAGTAAGAACCACACCTCACAAGGAAGCAAAGTTCGTATGTGGCCATCACCATAACGAAAACCATATCGTTCAAGGAAATTCCAGAAACCAGGTGGTGTTCTTGATTTAGAAGGCCGCTTCAATTGCAAGGAACAAGAACCATCTGTTGGTTTAATCTCTCCAATAGACACTTGTGAAGCATCCTACAGAAAAAAGTAACAGGCCATAAAACTTGTGTATGGAAAATGCAGAGAGAACATATTGCATAATCTTCAAATTTCTATATAAATAAGTAATCTAAACTTCAAGAGAAAACCCCAGTTTTAGCTAACAAAATACTTTATTTAGATTAGAATATTTCTGAGTTAGTCGCAAGAGAATCCACAAACTAAATGTTAACCTACGTTACATCATCTCCAAAATTCATCCATGGAAAAACTGATATAGTACAAATAACATTTATGAAAATACCAAGCTGATAAAAAAAAAAAAAAATACTTGTCCAGCTTATAGAAAGTAATACCATCTTACATACATGCAACCCAAATAAATAAGGGCATAAATTCCACTTGGATGCATTACAAAAAATTAAATAAAAAAGACTAAGAAAAACACAAACAATAAAAGATTTCTTGCCAGTCGAAAACAACTTTATCCAGTTATATTACTTTTAATTTTTTAAACATGGTATACCAAATGAAGGAATAAAACCTCTAAAGGACCAATCTCTAATAAGTGCACGGGCATCCCAGCAGATGAAGCATATGAGATAACACAAATGATGTTCTGTTTTACATGACTTAAATTAGTGTGTGCATGTGGGTGTGAACGTGCATGTGTGCGCGTGAGTGAGTAAGCCAAAGAGATTAGATTCAAAAATTACTAGATACAGCTATCATACTTCACATCTAGGAAAAGAAAAGGGGTTTGGTCAGCTTATACTCACCTCACAACATGAAGATAGCATTCTCTCTGCTAAACCAGCATTCTTGGTTGGAAACTGAATGGTATCAACCCAGAAACACCAAAGGATACAGAATATAAGAACACAAATCTTCATGATAAGAAAAAGTAGCTAGTCAAATAGAAAGCGTGCAACAACTGGTTTACAGAATTTAAAAAAACTGAAGATCAAGCAATAGTCGACTAAGACTCTTTGCATCAATAAGATGTTCACAAAAACAATAAAAATTGTGAGACTAGTGGTTGGCAAACAAGAAAACAATTTCACTGAATACAAACGTTGATCGTGTGGTACTAAGTTCAAACTTCAAAGACTTTCTTTGCAAAATTTTGGGATATTTTAGCAACTTTCGAAAGTCAAAAACAAAAATTGAGACTACTGCATAGATTACAAATACAGGTGCAAAGAGGGGCACTTAATACAAAATGATTATAAATAGAAAAAGTGATATATATGAAAGATGGATGACACAGTAAAAATAGCTTCAAAATTCAACTGCTTCTTCATGTAAACCTTTTTGTTCCTCAGCTGAAAATTAGAACAAAAACAACCACCATCTGCTGTTCTTCAGTTAACCGACAAGAAAAGTCCAAATAAATGAAATAAAAGTCTCTGCTTTGTGTGCAAAATAATGACCATAGAAACAATCATTAATGATGAAGAACTCAATCTAGTGGTACCTTGTTCTTTTTCATTTTCAAGCATTTCAAGCACAATAAGCTAAGCATCCGCTTCAATTCGCTCACATGATTAGGATGAAATATTGGTATTGGTAACTCAATATACCCGAAATGACCTGAAAAGGGATAAAACATATGCTTCATTATTTTTCCAATTGTATGCTTTGGATTATAACCTATTTCTTACATCTAACTTTGTTTCACAACATTATATAATTTAACTCTAAATGACAAGGCTAAGAAAAGACACTTATGGCACCTTCACACTTCCCAGCTTCAGAAGTGCCACAAGATTCACACTTTCCAAACTCAAGGGGCAGGCCAAGGAATGGGTTGGAAAGCTGACTTGCATGGCTGATAGCGCAATTGCTGATAGATGCTGTACACTGGCAAAAAAGTAAACATCCAAATATAAAACGAAATTAGTCCAACATTGTTGGGTTTCGGAGTAATTAAAGATTAAGAGCTGCAAAATTAAAATCATTACAAACACTCTGTTGGTTTTCTAATTTACTTCCCCATAGTCAATAATCAGGCACTAGTTGTGAAGAAATATAATTTGATAAATGGAAAGCAATAATTCTTTTTTTCTTTTTTTTGGGTATAATCCGCTAATTACAGGCACTAAATCAGCTCAGATTATAGATGTTTAATATGGACTCTAGATGCCAATCGCTCCAAAAAATGAAACAGAAACTTCCAACTCCTATCAAATGAATGCAATTTTATTTTCTTTGAAACAAACCAATGCAGTTAACACCTCTCAAACAGTAGATGATATCAACTGAATAACTAATGAATTGAATGTCAAATTTCTACTTACGATTTCTTGATGAGTTGCCAAACCAAATTTGATTCCAGTTATCTCCCCCTCTAAAATAGTTGAGGAAGAGGCTTCCTCCATTTCCTTTAAAGAAACCTTAAGATACTGCAGTGGAAAAGAAAAAAGAAAAAGGGGAAAAGGAGATAAATGTAGAGAGGACTGTAACTATTACAGCAAAACCAACATGCAAATATACCACAACATCATTATTAAGCTAAAAATTTATTTCAAGAAAAAAGTTAGTCTGTGGGAGGTAGCAACCTCAAAAACGAAAAATAAATAATAAAATATGTTAAAAACAAACGCAATAAAAAATCTGAACCAATGTAGCATGTTTCTGAGAGAATGGAAAGAGTACAAAACCCAGCACAACGCAGCAACAAAAGAGAAACGAGGTCTAAAATGTTCACCAACTTTCTCAGACACCAAACACAAAAGAAACCTGCAGCAAAAGGAAAGAGCAAAATTACCCCAAGTCTTCGGGTGTGTTTGTGCTTCAACAGCTACTTGTAAGCAAAAAGACCCCCCTAAATGGAACCAAAAAAACAAAACGCAAAGCAAACGTGTTTAGCGTCACGGTCAGGGACGGAGAAAGCAAGAGAGAGACTTCATGGTCCCTTTGGTTACAGAAAAACTGAGTGAAAATAAACCCAATGTACAACATTTTCTCCCCCTTCAATTTCCCAAAGAAGCAAAAGCCCCATTTCTACGGTCGTATTTTCTTCTAAAACTCGCTTACTTTCTCAGCAACCAAACACCGAATAACAAAATGCAAACAAGTTAGAGCAAAAATTACCACAACGTTTCGCTTCTTCCGTACTCTGGCACTGCGGGCTTGACCCCAAAACCCTAAATTTAAGCCCTGAAGCACCAAAAAAAAAATTGGGGTTTTTCAACGGAGTGAGAGCTCTGCTCTGCAAAAGGCTTTTGAAAGCAAATTTCAGTTTTTGAAATGACACAGAAATTTGGCCTACAGCTTACAGTGACAAATTACAAAAACGACGCCGTGTGGTCTTCTGCTGTCACTTTCACTCCTCTTTACAGACTCTGATGATCCAGAGAGTGAGATTGAGTGAGTGAAATGAGTTTTGCATGAAGAAGGGAATTTTGGAATTTCTGGCTTTTCTTTTTCTTTTTCTCCACTATGAAATCAAAGTCCCTAAATAAAACAAAGGATTATTTGGCTTTTCAAAAGAAAATAAAAATAAATTATAAAGGTTATTTGGGTTTTAACTTTTGGACCCGTACAGCTCAGTGGTGTGGGGTTTGGGGATTTGAAATGACTGGACTGGACTCGTTGACCAATTTGTTCTGCGTGGAATGCTGGTTTTGGTTGGTCAATAGATGGGGGGCAAAATGGAGAGTTTAGCGCATTGTGGAAATGTCGTTTGGGGATTTCGTGGGAGAGGGGGAGGAGGGAAAGTTAAAACGTCTCAGAATTCATAGCGCCACTCTCTCTCAAGTCTGACGTCGTTGGACTAGGGCTCAAACGGAATGCTTCGTATTAAAGTGGAAGGCTTTATACCACAAACATAGCGATGGTGAGAGTCATTTCAATTTTATTTCAATAAGTTGACCTACCGTAATAACTCTACAGTCTCTTTCCTATTGACGCATAGACAACATTACTTTTCGTTTTTTAATTTTTCTATTATATTGAATTAGTGTAAACTAGCTTTCACTGTTCTAAAAAAACAAACATCTAGTGAATATATACTGGCCATTATTGATTTGTTTCACTTTTTAGAAAAAGGATAGCTAATTATATATACTAGCCATTGCTAATTTATTTCTTTTTTCAAAAACACAATTGGCTAGTTCCCTTTTCAAATGGCAAGTTATTTACCTTGAAATACATATGTAGAAAACAACTCTACCACAACTTCCAACATCCACAAAAAAAAAAAAAACGTTTATGTTGAAGTTTTATTTTTCGATAAAAAATGAGCAACCAAAAAAAGGGAACTTATTTTACTAGGGAGCAAGAAAAATTTTGTTATATTCAAAATTGGTTTGTTTTTAAAGATCTCTTTGAAACTATTACAATTGTATAATTCTTATCGTAATTAACTTTATTCATTTTATTTTATTCAATCATTTAAAAAGATATGTAAAAAGATATAGTTTTTAATTTGTAAGATATTGAACTGCACCACTACAAGTGAAACTACAGTTTAGTTCAATAGCTACCAAAAAAGTTCAATAAATTGAACTGTTGAACTACAATTGCGGATGCTCTAAGGTTTATGAAATTATCAAATTGCGTCCTTACTATTTTTTATTTTTTTTTGTCATTTGTGGTCCTTAAGGTTAGTATGTGTGCTCACAAACGGTCCCTACCGTCAAGTTCCGTCAAAAACTTTGTTAGTTTGATGATGTGACATATATATATATATTTTTATTTAAAATAATTTAAATTTGAAATTCATAAAAAGCTTTATATCAAAAAACGTCACTGAGGTTCATGAAACTATCAAATTGTGTCCTTTTTTTTTTGTCATTCGTGATCCTCAAGGTTAATATGTGTGCTCACAAATGATCAATGCGAAAACTTTGGTTTTTTATTTAAAATTCATAAAATTGAAAACTCATCCTAATTTTGACCAAAAAGGCAATAAAATCATAACCCAATGCAAAATTAATGTGGACGAAAACCACATAAATAATTGTGAAGTCCGTATCACTAAAATTAAGCGAAATTTTTTTTATATAAGCGATATTCTACTTTAATCTAATCTAAACAATGCAACAGAGCTGGTCCATTGATTTTGGAGGGCGTGGGAAAAAAAAATGAAAAATGAGGTCTTTTTTGTTTAACACTCTTACCTCATTTTGAACAAAAATTATAATAAAAAGTTTTAAAATTAGGTGGTAAGTATGTTAGTTTAAGTAAAAAAGATCCATTATATGAAAGATAAAGAAAAATGCCAAAAAAAAGTTCAAAATAAAGCCCAAAAAGCATTAGTTTCACACATAAAAGGTTTTTTTTGCTAGTATACTTATTAGATTGGAAGTGTGTAGGAGGCCCCATTTTTTTGGGGCCCAGTGCTATGGCCCAGCCCACACACTCTATGGATCTGGCCTGCAATGGGAACGGGGATTCAAACTCTGGTGTAGAGTTGAAAGCACATCCACTATAGCTAATTTGACTAAGCTCATATATGCAATTAAGCGTGATATTAATACATGCAATAGTCTAAATTACTCTAAGGGTTTTTTAAGATGTTCTTATGGAATGGCTAAATGTATTTTCTGACAGCGTTTGGCAAACAAATTTAGAAGTACTTCTTAGTCATACAAGCACTTTCTGGAGAAATTCCAACCTTTTCAAAATAAAACTGTTTTTTTACAAGGGCTTACAAGAAGAAGTGTTTTCTATAGAAGCAATTCCAAACAAGCCCTAATTACTCTAACAAGGAAGGGAGATTTGAACTTAGGGTTAAGGGAATGGACTCACTGCACTAACCAACTAGCCTAACATACGTCCACCCATAAGCCTATATGAGTATTACCGTCATCACTTGAATTACAATCGTTATCAAACCTAGGGCTAAAAAAAAATTACCAAAAAACTGACACGATACCAACATGAAAATGGATCCACAAAAATTAACTCAATACCAATCAAATGAATGCATTTGGGTACTGGATTTGATATCCCAATACTAAAACCGTCGGTAAAACAGAATTGATCAATATTTCATCCTTCTTCATAATTGTTGTGTTAGAGGTGAGATTAGCTCTTGGATTGGCTCTCTATTTTTTATTGAATAAAAAGAGCTTTTAAAATACTAAAGGGCTTTTAAAACTCTCAGACCCATTTAAACAAAAGTTTATATTCTTTTAAAACTCAACTTTTTTTATTTTTTATTTTCTTCTTCTTTCCTTCTCTCTCTCTCTTCTTCTTTTCTTCTTTTTCTTCTCTCTCTCTCTCTCTCTCTCTCTCTCTCTCTCTCTCCTAATCCCTTTATCTTGACCAAAATGTATCATAGAAACCTATGCATGCTTAAACCATGGAAGTCTGGTTTTTTGGGTTTCTAGGTTCGTGTTGTTGTTTAAGGTTTAGGGTCTCAATTAGGTTTTAAATTTCAGAATTTAGTGTATTGATTTTTGAGGTTTGAATTAGGAATTGAATTTAGAGTTTTTGGGTTTCAATTTCTTGGTGGTGGTTTGATACAGAGGTTGTTGTGAAGGTTTGATACTGAGGATGTTGTGGTTATAGTTGATATGTAATGGGTTTGATGGTGGTTGTGGTTCGATGGGTTCAATGATGATCTTTTGTCTCTTTCGGTTTTGATTTATCCCATATTGCCCCTTATTGGTCAGTAATTTGTTTGGGTGTTTCGATTCGGTTATCAAACTAAACCCACCCCTAATACCAAATAATCCTTGAGGGAAATGCAAAACATGTGGCAAGTCTCAAGAAATTTCGGTCCCCTACAATCCGACTACACATAATAGCAAACAAAGGTCCCAAATTGATAACGATGAATACAAACAAAAAGTTAAATTGTAATAAATTTCTTCAAATGTGGGTAGAAATATGATTTAGAAAAAATAAAAATTTACATGCATAATAATGTCATTACATATAAATATATCAGGAACACTCACATATTTACATTAGTGTCCTTCCAAACATGTATATGGTATGTGAAATGTGTTTAACTTATGTAAAAAAATAATCCAACTAAAGCTTGTTCTTTATTCACCACCAACTCCCTCGAAGAAAACTTAAAATTCTAGCTCTGTCCTTGGTGATGGGTACTCATATATAAGCATAGGGCATACCAAGTCACTACAAGGTTTACATGGATGTCTTTTCTACATGATAAAGTGTATTCACACTTTAGGACAATATGTAATCAAATTCAAACTAAAATGAGGACCCAATACATCTTGTATTGAGATGACCAAGGTAAAAATTCAAAATGCCTGGGCAACTTTCAGTTGCGGCCGATAATCCCTATAATCATTTTCAAAGTTTATTTCCCACAAATTATACCTAAATTGTCTAACACCAAACCACTACCTACCACACCCATATTGGCCACCCATCGGCTAGCCTACCAAGTGGCAACAACAACCACCCCAATTTGGTTTTCTCCCTTCTAGTATTTGTTTTAATTCTTTAGTTGTTGAGCTTTTCTTTTGGTTTAGTTGTACATATTTTATCTCTTGATGATTAACATAAGTGTTTTAATTTGTAATTTTCAATAAGACGTGAGTTGCATCACGACAAATAGGATCCTATTTCTTAATCTTATACATTAGGCACAAGATACCATGATTGTATGAGGTAATATACAAGATATTCGTCTCTTAAAGAAATACATTGTATTTGTTAAGTACTAGGGTTTCATTTTATTTCAAACTACTCTTTGAAAATCCTCTTTCATATCTTTATGAGATATTTAGAATAATATCTTTTTAAAATGAAATATAATTAACAAGTAGAATAATATTCACTCAATTTCATAGCAAATAGGTTCACTTTCTAAAGCTTCATGGAAGCATATGTTGTAGGAGAAACATCTGCCCTCTTCGTCATTGTAGCTTATATAGGTTTTATAGTCATGTTGTACATTCATAATACAAATCAAAAGTGCATATTAGTGTCTACCTTTGATTATAAATAATACATTCATAACACAAATTCCCTTTCAATCTTTTAATATGGTTTTGTGAGTGTTTATGCATCTAATCATCGCTTTATTGATATGCATCATAATGCTTAAAGATGAGAATGGACGATTCTCAACTTCTTTATCTCATCACATAACTGTACTTGTATTTGAACTTCCCACTGTATTCAAAATGGCACAATGTAAGGATGGAGAAACAAAACCGTTGCTTCCTGGACAACAACACAAGATGTAAGATAAACTGCCTCAATATTCCTCAATATTATTGATATTTCATACTATGGTCTTATTGTACTATGGATTAATTAAGTCAAGGTGCATTAATCAATGCTCTCTCTCTCTCTCTCTCTCTCTCTCTAAATATCTAAAATATCGATCATATCAGAAATATTGGTAGTCCAAAAATATGGAAATTTCGATGGAAATATCGGGATATTATCGATATCGATAAAAATTGAATAAAAACCAC